CAAAAATAGACGCAAGCTTCCTTTATTGAAATTTCTCAGGTTACAAGCAATATGGATGCTCCCAAAGCATACTGGCAAAACATACACATTCACACACATTTTTATTCTTGTCACATTGTGTTTTAAACAGTACCTGAGCCATGAGGATGGTGGTTGTGTGGAGATTTTAGTCTTCATATATAACCACAAGGGTAAGTTTTAATGTCCCTATCACTAAATTGAAAATTCAATGGGGAAAACAACAGTGTTCTTCCTCACCATTATATCCTCTGGTCCTAGAATAGTGTGTGCAGAAAAACAGATACTCCATAAGTTTTTTGAAATAAGAAATACAGAAAGGAATAAATGAACATTCATTTTTATCTGATTTAATATAAACATTTTCAGACCACAAGGCTGAACATGCATGATCTAGAAAATGATAATGTGGGATTCTTTTCTCCATCTTCAGTCTTTTGTTGAGTGTTCCTTAAAAAAAATCCAACTCTGTCTAAATAACATAGGCTGCTTACTATTAAGGCATGGATTATAGCTCTGGTACCCTTGAGAAGGAGCAGCACACAGCAGATTAGAAGCCACATCTCTTCACTGTAATAAAACCCAGTGAACATACAGACTACGATAAAGGTGTTATAAAGACTCAGACTTTGGTGCCCTTAAACATAAGTAAAAGAAAGTGTATTTATTTTTAAAAGAATAGACATTTGGAGAAAGGAATCAGAATAAGTTAGATTCCTTCAGATTTTGTCCTGAGGTCAGGGTGCAGTTGCAGCTGGTATGTAAAGCTACAACTCTGCTAGAAGGCGACTGGCTGGAAACTAGAGAGGAGAGCCAGACAGCCAGGTATAGTGTAAAAAACGAATTCCAGGAAGAAGAAAGCCAGACCAGGGGCGCCCCATACTCCATGAGCAAACACTGCCTAAGGCTCTGGCTCAGTCTGAAACACACACATGCAGGGAACACTTCTGACAAACACCCCTGAAAGAACTGAATGGATGCTTAAACTGCAGCCCACTACAAACGAGATAGTGTTTGCAACTTGCCTCTATGCAAGTTAATCACCTGATTAAACAAATCATGCTACTCTCTGAAAAACACTTTCCTGAGTACAGAATCCAGAGTCTTTGCAATAGCAATGTTCATAATGTCAAGGATAAAAGCAAAAATTCAAGGCAATGTGATATCATGGGGAAGAAACAATCAACAGAGGCAACTCTGAGAAGAAACAAATAAGGACCTTAAGACTGCAGTTGTAATTTAGCACAGTGAGTTAAGAAAACTAGGCTTATGTTATGGCTGTGTCTAGATGTACCCCTAAAGCCTCATTCAGCCATAGGTGGGGTTTTTCAGAGGTGGAGGAATCTAGAGCGTGTGACCCTGGGATTAAGCGTATGTGACTGGCCCCACCCAAATCCAAGTGGCTTAAATAGAGCATAAAAGGGGCAGAAAGAAACTGCTCTGATCCCTTGCTTGCTTGCTTTTGCTGTCTTCTGCCTACATGAACTGTTTCTCCTCTGCCACACCCTTCCACCACGCCACCCTGTCTTGGAGCCAGGCCATTATGGACTGAAACCTCTACACACTGTGAGCTAAATAAACCTTTCCCCCTTTAACTTTGGGTGTCAGGTATTTTGTCTCAGTGATGAGAAAAGTAACTAAGACAGGTTAAAATGTATAAGAAAAACGAACTTTACCAAGGGAAATTCAAATTTTGAAATACACAATTTGGTCTTAAAAAAAAAAAAAATCACATCACAGGGGCCAGGGATTTAGCTCAGTGGTTCCACTACCTGCCTCATAAAAGCAAGGACCTGAGTTTGATCCCCAGTACCCCCCAAAAAAAAACATCGAAGTTGTATTATGTACAGCAAAACAATAATTTAATACCATGGATAACATATCAGCAACTACAGAGATAGGAGATAGTGGAATATTATTATTAAAGCCCTAAAATGAAGAAAAAAGAATTCCACATCTTGAGAGAAGGCAGGCAAAATAAAACCATACTTGGAGAAGGAAAACTAGCATAATTTATCACGAAAAGAACTATACAAAATACACTTAAGGAAATTCTTCAGGCTGAGGAGAAATGACACCAGAGACAAACTCAGATAATTAGAGAGAATGAAGGCTACTTCAAATAATCAGTACGACATAAGACCATTTTATTTTTAATATTATTTAAAACAGAAATTACATTGATTTATAATATTTATCTATGTAGATTGCAAATATAAAGCATGTGATTACTACAGAACAAAATTTAAATGCTGAGTGCTGTTCAATAGTGTGTATGTTTCATGATATGTGGATTTTAGGTCTAATGTAACAATTAATCAGAATGACAAATGCTCTGATATTTCCAGCTAAAAGTTATTTTTAAATACCCAAACAACAACCTGGTAAAAAGAAATATAAGCCAGGGATGGGGATTTAGCTCATTGGTTCTGGTGCCTGCTTTGCAAGTACAAGGACCCCAGTTCGATCCTCAGCATCAGGAAAAAAAAAAAAGAGAGAGAGAGAAACATAAGCCGTACAAATTATTTTGATGTTTGACGCCCTATGTATTTTAGACTTCAAGTGAGCAGTGTATCTGAAAACATCTTTATCATCTTTGCCATCAACTGAATTCCAGAATTATCTAAAAGTCTATATAGTCTTCCTCCCTTTTTAAAAATAGTCTATTATAGTACACACTACAGAGATGCATTTGAATTTGTTGTTGCAATATATTTTATCCAACTGCAATCCCCAGGTATGGTAGCCAATGCTTGCAATCCCAGCACTCAGGGAGATGAAAGCAGAAGGATTGTAAATCCAAGGTCAATTTACATAATTTAGAGACAGTGAGACCCTGCCTTGAAATGTAAAAATTTTTTAAAGGACCATGGATATAGCTTAGTGCAAAGGCCCTATCCATAAAGCTCAATCCACAGAACCCAAAAAAAAGTTATATAATTTTTAAAAATCAATATTACACTTTATTCTCTCAGCCCCTGAGCTTTATTGGATTTCAAGTACTGACAAGAGTGATGTTTTAATGTCCTAATAGATTTTCAGACATAGATCAGAAAACTCAGGGCATTGATTACATAATGAAAACTCTTATTTTGGAGGACTAGAAAATATTTCAAAAGTAAGTTAATCAAAAATACTTATTAATACTTATGAAATAAGGATTCTGAAATGGAGATAAGATATTAAGGTCATTTTTCAACCAATATTTTCAAATAGCTACTACTTAAAGCAAAACCATTTCTTTAAATATATCATGAGAGAATACTTAAAATGTAAATGTATTTGTAAAAGATGTATTTATAAAAGGCATTTAAGTGTATTTATAAGAGATGCATGTTCTAGTAAAATTGTATTTATAAAAGACTGCCCCGAGATCACCCTCCTTCAATTACTAATGCCAGTCAATAATCTGCCTCTTTTCCCTGTGGAGATTTTATTGTTGTTATCCCATTTTACAATTGAGGAAACTGAGACCACACAGCTATCTGTTTGAGAGGACCAAGATTCTAATTCATCTAGCTGATTCCAAAGATTTTAAACCAACCCGCGTAAGACGACGAAACGATGTCTGTACAACATCTCATTTTTATACAAACTGCGTTCAATCAGTCTATTGATCAGTCTATCAAAAAATAAAAAGAAGGTAGAGAGGAAGCAAAGCGAGAAGCACAACGGCAGGGCTTCTCAGGTTGTCTAATTCCGAGGGGCGTGGAGACCAGCAGGAGGACGAGAGTCAGAGAGAACAGGAGGCATTCTGTACAGGAGAAAGGCATGCTGGGAAAGACTCCACTGGAATACAAGGGAGAAACGGGGAGACGCACAGAACCAACAGCTTGCAGAACATCACAATGGCTAAAAGTGGACAGCAAAATTCAGCACCACCATCTCACATAACACATCCTCCTGTATTGCAGTCAGTAGATGGTCCACTTTGTGAAACTGATTTCTTTTTGGGATAAATTTGACTTATTCCCAACAATTATTACGAATTCTGAGCAAAAGCATTTTTGCATCTAAGGTAAAATGAAACTCTATCATGTGTATGTGCAATACTAAAATTACTCAGCAATGAACTGAGCATCTCTCTTGAGGGACAAATATTCTATGATAAACCTTACCAACAATATCTCACGTAGCTCTTAAAATAACCATCGCCTATAAACTAGCATCATTATTCCCCTTCTAGAGTTTAGCACACTAAGAATCAATGAAGTAAATTTCACAAGAGCTTAGCACCAGAGTAACAAACCCATGATTTACTCCACATATAATATTCATATAAACATTTCCAAATCAATACCATGTGCCTGAGCATTTGCTTTCTTCAAATTATCCCTGGGGGAATAACCGTATTTCAGTATTTCACTGCATTTATCTCAAGGAAGCATCGCTCTTAAAAATAACTATTCTTTATTTATGCCACAGCAGTACCTTCCTTCATCTTTGTGGAACCTTACCAGAGGAGGGTAGACACGGACTTACGTTCTGCTCACACATACAAATTAATCACTTGGTACAAATGCTGAGGGACTGAAGTTCATCAGTTAATAAATGAGAGGAATGAAAGTCTGACCCCCTGGTAAGCGGTACTTAGAGCTTTGTAGTCAGCCTGATTAAACAAGTGCTCCTAAACAGAGCTGAAATCAGCCCAATCAAAAGCAAAGAAATCTGACTGCCTAATTAATCTACGTCACATTATCATGATTGCATTTTACAGTTTTCAGGGTCAAAAGAACTAGAAAAATGCTCGTTAGTACCTAGATAGCCTGTTGGGGTCTGAGGAATCCAGATGTGATATTTTAGAATGTGCAATACTTGAAAAATGATTAACGAATACATAAAAGTAGGTATTATATTTGTTAATATGCACATGTCAGATAAGATTCTACTTCACTAATCAAATACTTAGGACCAAAAAATAATGGATTGAACAAATGAAAAGCTGACCAAAGGAAAAAAGGAAATAACCTCAGAGCGTTTACCAGACATATTCCCATTGTGATCCTGAAATGGAGGTGAGAGACCAGTTGTCCCATCTCTCTTTGTCCAGCCCAGTTGTAGGTTTCCATCTTGTTCCATATCACAGAACCCATCCTCAAAATCACACCTTTTATAGCCAGAGCCTAAAGAGAAAACAAAAGCAAGATTAGTTTTTACCATCTCATTTTGGCTTCTTCAGAAATAAGACAGTAGTAGAAAAAGAAAGGTTAGCAACAAATGAATGATAAATACAGATTAACACAAGGGTTATTTTTCACAATTCTAAATTCTTACTATAAAGCTTTGTTACATACAACATCCTCATAAATTGCCATGCAGAAAAAACTGTTCTAACACAAAGAATGTCACACAGGGTGACTGGAGGCCTAATCCTGGTTTGGAATCCAGTTAACTACGTGCCGTCACTCAACTGCAACCACAAGACCTTTTCTTTACTTACAGGTTTAGAATAGTAACCTCCTGCCCCCCTCAAATAACTCCAATGAAGATCTAATGACATTACATGTGTAAAAATACTTCAAAACTCTCAAGCACCATGGAAAAATGAGAAATTATTGTTAAAGTTACATGTTCAACTCCACAGTGATCTTCCTGCCATCCTGTCGCATCAGAATTTTAGGTCTGGGAGACAAATCACAGATTACTCAAACTTGGCCATGGGTTAAATCCCTACATGGAACATTAAACCTCCCTGTTGAATCTCAGAATTGAGGAAAAAGCACAGGGCTTTTATCACATCAGAAGCATTATTCCTGGCTTTTTTTCTTTTTCCTGGATGCGACTGATACTAGAAGCTTGGGATAGATAAGCAAAGGTTTTGAGCAGCTGGTTGTTCCCAATAACCAACGAAGCATGCGTTGCTCCATTACCCCACATCTGCAAGTGTCACATTCTAAAAATAAGTTCTTTCGGTGTGCAAAGCCTGTCCCTTAGTCACAGGCCTTCGCAACTGTAGAGGTTGCCTTTAGACCAATTTCTTTTTTCCTGGCTAATTAAATTAGCCTTAGTTAGAAGTAAACGTGATGGCTAATTGAGGTGCCTAGCACCCCATGCAAATGCAATTTTTAACCATCTGACAAAATATTTCATAAAAATACCACATCTAGTACATTTTCTAGATCATGAAAATTGAAAGCTGATTTGGAATTATCACTTTTAGACAGTACTAAGCCTGCTTCCTACCAATGGTCTATTTTATTAATTTTATTCTTAGATTTCTTATTTTACAAGGTTTTGCCAATCGGTCATACTCTGTAATAAGAATCCCCATTGTTACAATTTGCCATGATGACTTGTTCTGTGCTAGGCATTCCACAGGCAGTAATTTATTGCTTATAACACCACGAAGGAAGCATTTTCTTCCATTCTAAATTTGAGGAAACTTATACAATATCTCAGGTATTAAGTAATTTGTGCAAGGGAGAACAATGAGTGAGTGCTAAGGTTAAGTTTAGAAGTCAATTTTGTTTTTTAACTCTAAAACTGCAGCTCTTCCATGGTAGGCCTGATTTTCAATCCACTGTCCCATTTTTACCAGTGTAAAATTAAACATCTATCAGAGATTCTAGCCAGCCTAAGGAAACATGTGTTTACAGGGTTGACACCATTCTACCCAAAAGCAAAGGAATTATGTTAGTATATGAATCTTACTTGCTCATACCACAGTTAGAATGGAATCATACTAATTTGCAATTTTCATAAGAGCTTTGAGCTATTTCAGAGTAGCTGGGATAGCCTAATTGTTTTATAGCCCCTAGTTATCCTGGGAATCTGGGTGAACAAAAAAAAATTACATCATATAGTCACCTGTAGGTCTCTCCCCATCTCTCTCTCTCTCTCTCTCTCTCACACACACACACACACACACACACACAGAGCCATGCAATACGTAACAAAGTTTAATGAAGGATGATATAGATATGTAGTAGGCTATATTACCTAGATTTGTGTAAGTACACTCTTATGATGTTCACATAATGATAAAATTGCCTAAAAATGCATTTATTAAAATGTATCTCTATCCTCAAGCAGTCCATGACTGTGGTTTTGTGAGTTAATCAACTGGTTATGATTGGTTATGCATGTGTTTACATGAATCTATTCATTTTCAAGTTTTAATTCCCAGCAATTTTATAAGGATCTCTGATCACAAAATATTCTAAATTATTTTATCAGCATATTTCAACAGTTATACATGTCTAAAATTTATACACATTTTGCATTAGGTCACAAACATGTCTCATATACCAAGAAATGACTTTGCAACACAAGTACTCTGTGTGCAATGTTCTTTATTTTCTTTAATATACAGAGTAATGATGATGATTTCTGGAAGTGTTAAAACCAGAAAAACCAGCTAAATAAAACATTTCTTCTCTGAATAGTCTCAACAGGGGTTCTTTTTGTTATAAAATGAATCTAATCAGCACACATTTTCAACTAATTTTGTTTTAAAAAGCAATCTTAAACTGCTGAAATATTCAAAGATACACTGGGAATTTTTCTATGCATTCATTTTTCCCCACTGTAGAATTGCACTTTTTAAATCATCTCAATAATTTTCCTTGGTTCGCTTTTTAATTTTGTATGCCACATACCCACATTCAAATCTGAAACTCTTTGCCACAATAAAATCCATCTCTGTATAGATTACTGCCACTATAGCCACTGGTGTGGACTGACATACAGATGGAGAATATAACGAGAAGTGATGTACAGAAAGTTATCACTAGTATCCAAGCTCCTGTGCTTTTTTCAAAAGGCGAAAACCATCATCTTGTTTTCAATTTTATAGCCCCTAAGGTCAGGCCTTCTCTAGTCAAAGAGGGACAAGGCCTCCACTCTGTATTTTGAAGTTTATTTGGAAGGCACAATCATCTTCTGATTGGCGTCCGCAGTGCCAGACTGTCCCATTAAAGAATCACTGAAGAATCTCTCACAGATTCAATCTTACATACCACAGGAGAAAGAAAAATATTAAATGATATCCCAAAGTAATAGTTGCTCGGGGCATGCTTCTGAGGAAATGGGAAGGAATAAAGTTTTAACTTTGGTAACACGGAAAAAATTCAGATAATTCAGAACCCAAGGAGAACTTGGGAAGCCACAGTCTGGACAATGATCACAACATGAAGTTCTCAGAGTCGGTGCCTGACGTAAGAACTAGGAAAAAAATAGAGAAATGAGAAGCACGAAGCAGAAAACACTGAAAGCAAAGTACATTTATTTCAGTTTTGCCTGGGCCCATAAATGCACCTGTTCCTCCTAAAAGTTCCATGAGGCACAGCTGTAGTGTTTCCATAACAATGAATTTTAGGCTTTTTATACTAGGCAAAAATATACAGTATATAAAATGAACCATTTTCACCATTTAATAAAGAGTTCTGTGATATTTAGAGTATTCATATTATTATTCAACCATTATTGCAGGTAGCTAAGTTAGTTACAAATTATAATAAGGTAGTTAGACAAAGCTGGGCCCTCAGCAGAGAAAAGCAACTGAGGCACATTCACTGGTACTGCACCTACCGATTTCCCCTGGGGCTGAGTAACAGTGACCGGTATTCTAATGAGGGATCAAGCTCCCTAGCCCATTTCCTTTCCAGAAATTCCTTGTTCATTCCATGTAGGCTTGCTACATGACCACTTCCCCCATTTAATCAACATTAACCAAGTGACAGTACTTGTAATCTTACTCATCATGATTTTGTCCCACCTCAGGCCCACCCTGAAATTTTCCACTGGATCTTACAGTTTTGTCCCACTTTGCTCCCACCTCACCTCTTGGGTTTGCCCCATAAAACCTGTTTGAAAAGCGGGGCAGGCAGGCAGCCCACTTTCCAGTCCCGCTACTGTCTCTTAGACAGAAGCTATGTTTCTCTCAATAAATGTTTCCTACCCTTAACCTCCACTCTTCCTAGAATTCATTCTTCAATTTTAGACAGCACGAACTTGTATTTCAGAGTTATGATAGGTTGGGAGTTATATTTCCCTTGTTGGGATTATTTTTGCTTCTTTGGGTTATGCGCTGCCCTGTATCAGTCACCATCACCGCCATCCATGTTAGAATGCTTCTCATGTCACAAAAATGAAACATTTTACCCCTTAAACAATACTTCCTCATCCCTCACTGCACCACATCTTGGTAACCTGTATTCTACTTTTTGTGACAATCATTTGACCCCTCTAGACAGTTTGTGTAAGTGGAAGCAAGTGTTTGCTCTTGTGTGATGCGCTTATTTCATTTACTGTATCATGTCTTCACGATTGACCTATGTTGCGACACATATCAGCACTCCCTTCCTGTTGGAGGATATGTGTATGTTTATATTATGTAGGTTCACACCTATCTCCTATGTATGTCCATGGACACTTAGATATTTTTAGCTTTGAGCTGCTATGAATAATGCTGCTGTGAACATGAGTGAATACCTATTTCACTTCCTAACAGGGTTCATACATGTAAATAACACTGCTGAGTCACATGGTAGTCTAATTTAAGGAATCACCATCGGTGTGTCTATGTGTAAGACTTTGTATCTGTGTCCCAGTTTCTCCACATCCGCACCAACATGTTATTTTCTAGTTTTTTGGTTTGTTTGTTGTTTTTATAATAACCATCCTAATGGATGTGAGGTAGTAGTAGCCTACTGCGGCCTTGATTTGTATTTCCCTAATGATCAGTGATGCTGATGTCTTTTCATCAGATTACTGGACATTTACATGTCGCTTCTAGAGAACTGCCTATTCAAGTCCATTGCCCATTTTTAATGAAATTACTTAGGTTTTGGTTTTTGTTCAGTTGTACTTTTTTATATTTGAATATCATTCTTATCCAATGTATGATTGCTAAAAGTTGTCTCACATTCTATGCATTGTCTTATCCCTGGTTAAATATTTAATGCATGTTTTTACTTTAATAAAGAACAGTTTCCTTTTTTTCATTTTGTATGGTTTTGCTGCCATACAAAAGAAATCTAAGTCTGATATCATTAAGCTTTTCTCTTATGCTTTTTTCTAAGAGTGATAATTTTGGAATTGACCATCAGCTCTTCAGGAAAAAGTCTAATTCAGAAAAAAAGTGAGCAAATGGAATTAGCACTTCCAGAGCTCCTTTGATCAA